TCGAAGCCGCCCGTCGTCAGCGCCTCGAGCTCCTCCTGGTCCGCGTGGAACGTCGTCGAAATGCCCGCCCAAGCCTCCGCGTTCGACCGCGTTTCCATGGCCTCGCGCGCCGCGAGCGCCGCGGCGCGCTGGGCCGCCGTGACGTTCAGCGACTCGTCGCGGCTGGGGACGAGGGACACGTTCCACTGGAGCCCCGTCCAGTCGCGGCCGCCGGAGCCCGTCGACTGGTCCATGGCGACGTCGAGGCCCGCGGCCTCGCAGACCGGGGCGACCGTGGTGCCCTGGAAGACGGCGACGGGCGCGTCGGGGTCCTCGGGCGGGTCGACGGCGACGGTGGACGCGTTGTTGGCCTTGTAGCAGTCGCAGCGCGCGCCCTCCTCGCACTTGAGCTTCAGCGCCCCCTCGAGGAGCGTCAGGTTCGACCCGGGCAGCATGGCCAGGGCCGTGTTCACCTCGGCGCTGAGCTGCGCCGAGCTCACCCAGAAGCACTCCGCGAGCGCGACGTCCGGGAAGTCAAGCACGTCCTCGCAGGCGAAGGTGACGCCCGCGGCGACGTCGCCCTGGTCGCTCCTCGCGTCGAGGTCCACGAGGACGACGGCGCCGGAGGACGTGAACGTCGCCGCCGCCACGGCCGGCGGCGGCGGGACGTCGAGCTTCCAGCACGGCGTGATCGTCGGCGCGGACGTCGGCGTGGCCGTCGGCGCGCGCGACGGCGCGGGCGTCGGCGCGGACGACGGCTTGAAGGTCGGCCGCGCCGTCGTCGGCAGGGGGCTCGGCGCGGGGACGGGCACGCGCGTCGGGTTGCCCGGGAGCACCGTGGGCATGTGCGTCGGCCGCGGGCTCGGCGCGGGCTCCGGCGCGGGCGTCGGCGCGGGCGTCGGGCCCGCGGACGGCCGCGGCGACGGGGCCGGCGACGGCGCCGCCGTACTCGGCGCCGGCGTCGGCGCCGGCGACGGGCCCGGGCTCGGGCGCGCAGTCGTCGGCGCGGCCGTCGACGGCGCGTGCGTCGTCGGCGCGAGCGACGGCGCGGCCGTCGTCGGCGCGTGCGTCGTCTGGTAGCCGCCCGTGTGGATCGAGATGGCCTCGTGGCTCGCGTCCTGGTCCACGGACGCCGCGCTGAAGTTGCCCTCGTTGGCGAGCGCGGCGCCGAAGGTCGACGTGCCGTCGTCGCCGGCGGTCGTGACCTCCGTGAGCTCGCTGCTGAAGTCGTCGACGACGGTGTCGACGTCCGTGTCGCCGTCGACGTCGACGTCGACGTCGAAGTGCACGGTCACGGAGGACTCGTCGAGGCGCCGGTGTCGCACGTCGCCGACGCGGCGCCGCGCGAGCGCCGCGAGGCGCCGCCGCCGCGCGTCCTCGGCCGTGACCGAGGGGATGTCGCCGACGCTGTCGATCATCGAGAGGATGCCGCTCGCGAGGACGCGCTTGAAGGCCTTGACGTGGTCGATGCTGAAGTCGGACGCGGACATGCCCGCGAGGACGATCGCGGACGACACCTTGGCGCCGTAGAAGTGGCTCGGCGCGAAGGTCGCGGTGGGCGCGGGCACGGGGAGGCCCGTCGTCGGCGTCCGCGTCGGCGCGGCGGACGTCGGCGTCGGCGTCGGCGACGGCGTCGACGGCGTCGCCGTCGGGGACGGCGTCGACGGCCGCGCGGTCGGCGCGGCCGACGGCGCGGCCGTCGTCGGCGTCGCCGTCGGCGCGGGCGTGTACGACACCTGGAAATAGAAGGAATCGGTCACGGAGGCGTCGTCTTTGCACGAGAGCGTCAGGGTGTACTCGTTCACGTCCGCGTCGCCCGGAAACTGCTGTAGGGTTTCGCCAGTGTTGTCCACGACGACCGCGCCGATGACGTTCCCGTCCAGGTCGGCCACGATGCCGCTCAGGGTCTCGCACGCGCTCGGGTCGCCACGGTACACCCAGAGAAGCTCGCACTCGACGTAGTGAACGCACGTCGACGAACCGCCGCCCATGCTCGTGATCTCTATGTAGGAGGCCGTCGGCGCGGGCGCGGGCAGCTCGCTCGGCGCGGGGCTCGGCAGCATCGTCGGGTAGGGCGACGGCTCCAGCGACGGCGTCGCCGACGGCGCGGCCGTGGTCGGCGCCGCGCTCGGCTTCGTCGTCGGCACGGCCGTCGGCGCGGGCGTGTACGACACCTGGAAATAGAAGGAATCGGTCACGGAGGCGTCGTCGTCGCACGTGAGCGTCAGGGTGTACTCGTTCACGTCCGCGTCGCCCGGAAACTGCTGGAGGGTTTCGCCGGTGTTGTCCTGGGCGACCACGCCGATGATGTTCCCGTCCAGGTCGGCCACGACGGCGGTCAGGGTCTCGCACGCGCTCGGGTCGCCGCGGTACACCCAGAGAAGCTCGCACTCGACGTAGTGGACGCACGTCGACGCTTCGCCGCCCAGGCTCGTGATCTCTATGTAGGAGGCCGTCGGCGCGACCGTCGGGGCGGCGGTCGACGGCGCGAGGCTCGGCGCGGGCGTCGGGGCCTTGGAGGGCGCGTCGCTGCAGCCGCAGGACCGCGCGCAGGCCTCCCACGCGAGCGAGTCGTCCTCGCCGACGACGGCGCACCGCGACGGCAGCGCCGCGACCCAGGCGCAGTGCTTCGACGGCGCGCCCTTCTTGTGCCAGCTCTCCGAGTCGGAGCAGTTCGCGCCCCACCACGTCGGCGCGGGCGTCGGCGCGGGCGTCGGCGCCGTCGACGGCGACGGCGACGGCGCGGGCGTCGGCGCGATCGTCGGCGACGTCGTCGGCGCGGGCGAGTACGACACCTGGAAAAAGATGGAATCGGTCACGGAGGCGTCCCCGTCGCACGTGAGCGTCAGGGTGTACTCGTTCACGTCCGCGTCGCCCGGAAACGGCCGCAGGGCTTCGCCGGTGTTGTCCTGGGTGTCCGTGGCGATGACGGTCCCGTTGAGGGTGGCCACGACGGCGGTCAGGGTCTTGCACGCGCTCGGGTCGCCGCGGTACACCCAGAGAAGCTCGCACTCGACGTAGTGGACGCACGTCGACGCTTCGCCGCCCATGCTCGTGATCTCTATGTAGGAGGCCGTCGGCGCGACCGTCGGGGCGGCGGTCGACGGCGCGAGGCTCGGCGCGGGCGTCGGGGCCGTCGACGGCGACGGCGACGGCGCGGGCGTCGGCGCGATCGTCGGCGACGTCGTCGGCGCGGGCGAGTACGACACCTGGAAAAAGATGGAATCGGTCACGGAGGCGTCCCCGTCGCACGTGAGCGTCAGGGTGTACTCGTTCACGTCCGCGTCGCCCGGAAACGGCCGCAGGGCTTCGCCGGTGTTGTCCTGGGTGTCCGTGGCGATGACGGTCCCGTTGAGGTTGGCCACGACGGCGGTCAGGGTCTCGCACGCGCTCGGGTCGCCGCGGTACACCCAGAGAAGCTCGCACTCGACGTAGGCGACGCACGTCGACGCTTCGCCGCCCATGCTCGTGATTTGCAGGTAGGAGGCCGTCGGCGCGATCGTCGGAAGGGCGCTCGGCGACGAGGAGGGCGCCGCGCTCGGAGACGACGACGGCGCCGCGGTGGGCTCCTCCTGGCAGGGCGCCGCCTCGACGACGGCGACGCCGCTCCAGGCGTGCGCCGTCAGGGCGACGTCGAGGTCGCCGTCGCCGTCGAGGTCCCCGGCGACGGCGCGCCCGCCGTAGGTCGTCTCGACGTCGTGGCGCTCCCAGGCGACGCCCGCGTCGGACTCGTACCAGGCCGTCGCCGTCCCGTAGACGCCGACGAGCACGTCGCCGTCGCCGTCGCCGTCGAGGTCCGCGACGTCGACGGCGTAGGGCAGGTCGAGCCCCGAGGCGACGACGCCGCCGTAGGCGAACTGGCTGCCGTTGTTCGCGACGTAGGCGACGTCGCCCGTGTCCGCGTTCGCGTAGACGATGTCGACGTCGCCGTCGCCGTCGACGTCGCCCGACGCGAGGGCCCAGACCGTGCCGAGGCCCGACGCCACGAGCCCGCCGGAGAAGGTGCCGTTGGCGAAGAAGTAGCCGAACATGGCGTCGTCCTCGTAGGTCTCGACGGAGCCGTCGGCGCCCTCGTCCCCGTAGATGACGCGGTAGACGACGGCGACGTCGACGTCGCCGTCGCCGTCGGCGTCGGCGGCCGTGAGGCGGAACGCGCAGGCGAAGTAGGCGCCGCGGATGGACGCCTCGCCGAAGTCGGTCCTCTCGAAGGCCGGCGCGCCGCCGGCCGTCCCGGCGATCTGCTCGTAGTAGGAGACGCCGACGCCCCCCGAGTCCGCCGAGTCGCCGCAGTTGGCCGCGAGGACGTCGAGGTCCGCGTCGCCGTCGACGTCGACGACCGCGAGGTCCTCGGCCTTCGCGCCGGAGGCGATGGTGACAAAGGTCGTTTCGTCGCCGCCGAAGGGGCCCGTCGCGTAGGCGACGACGTCGTCGGTCTTCTCGAGGAGTTTCGCGGCGCCGGCGAGGTCCGCGGCGCCGTCGCCGTCGACGTCCGCGGCCGCGACGGCGACGAGGTCCTCGTAGGACCCGATGATCGTCTTCGCGGCGGCGCAGTCCGCGTAGCAGTAGGCGTAGTCGCCCGAGCCCTCGACGAAGGCGCCGTCGGCGTCGACGGCCGTCGCGCACCACGCGAGGCCGTTCGCGTCCGCGTAGTCGTACGTGCAGGCCTCGTAGGACGTCTTCGCGTAGACGAAGGGGAAGACGCAGGCCTCCGGCGGCACCCCGCACGCGTCGTAGACGGCGCCGTCGTTCGCGTACCAGGCGAGGTCGCCGGGGGGCTCGGTGCCGCCCGCGACGACGTCGAGGTCCGCGTCGCCGTCGAGGTCCGCGACGGCGACGGCGTAGGACCCGTTGAGCGCGCCGTCGAGGAGCCGCGGCGACCCGAAGGTCGCGGCCGCCGCGCAGGCGGCCGTCGGCGCGGGCGACAGCGACGGCGCCGGCGACGGCCGCGGCGTCGGCCGCGGCGACGGCGCGGCCGTCGACGGCGCGGCCGTCGGCGGGCAGAGCGCGCCGCCGACCTCCTCGCAGTAGGGCACGTCGCAGTAGTCCCATTCCGGCTGCGTGCCCTCGCCGTTGACGCACCAGGCCCCGCCGCCGTCGCCGTCGGGGTTGCGGCAGAAGTTGTGGTCGCCGAGGCCCGCGTCCGGGTAGTCGTCGGGGGAGTAGGCGTGCTTGGTGGGCTCCTGCGACGTCCAGTACTGGCACTTGACGCCCGCGGCGGTCTCGGCGACGGCCCCGCGGTAGTCGCTCTGGTCCTTCTCGTCGGCGCAGCCCGTCGCGCAGCCGCTCGGCGCGGGGCTCGGGACCGGCGTCGGCGCCTTCGAGTCCGACACGCAGGCCTCGCCGCCGTAGTACAAATAGCCCGCGCCCTCCGCCGCGGCGACGACGTCCGCGACGCCGTCGCCGTCGAAGTCGCGCGCGACGACGCGCGTGCCGCCGTCGCCGACGGCGACCTCGGTCCAGGCCGAGCCGTCGCCGTCGACGTTCGCAAAGTAGGAGACCGCGCCCTCGTAGCGCGCGAGCACGAGGTCCAGGCTCCCGTCGCCGTCGACGTCGCGCGCGTCGAAGCGCGCGGGCCAGCCGAGGCCCGACGCGACGTAGCTCCGCGTCGCGCCCGCGGCGAGGGGCCCCGGTACGACGCTGAGCGCGCCCGCGTAGACCTCGACGAAGACGGCGTCGAGGTCGCCGTCGCCGTCGACGTCGTGGAGGCCGACGTCGCCGAGGCCGCCGCCGTCCTCGAAGAGCACGGCCGGCGCGCCGAAGGCGCCGTCCTCCAGAACGTAGTACGCGGCGACGTCCGAGACGCCGTCGGTGCCGTCGTCGCCGACCTCGAGCTCGAAGGACGCGAGCGCGCCCGCGACGGCGCCGTCGAGCTCGCCCGCGGCGACGGCCCGGGCGCAGTAGCCCTCGCGCGCGTCCACGGCCGTCCGGACGAACTGGCGCTGGCCCGTCGAACCGGCGCCCGTCGCCTCGTAGTAGGCGACGCCCGCGGCGCACTCCGCGGCGAGCACGTCGACGTCGCCGTCGCCGTCGACGTCGACGGCGACGAGCGACTCGGGCACGCCCGCGACGGACCCGACGTCGCTCGCGCTCCAGGCGATGGCGTCGGTCGTCGCCGCGCCCTCGACGTAGGCGATCGCGTCCGACGACCCGGCGACGCCGGCGAGGACGACGGCGCCGCCGTCGCCGCCGCCGTCGACGGCGACGGCGACGAGGTCGTCGCCCGCCGCCACCGTCGTCACGTAGGCGACGGCCGCGCCCCCGCGGGCGTAGGCGCCGTCGTTCTCGAGCCAGAAGACGGCCATGGAGTCGTCGTCGCCGCCGACGACGTCGTCGTCGCCGTCGCCGTCGACGTCGCCGGCCGCGACGAGGAGCGAGCCCTCGGCGACCTCGAAGAGCGTCGCGTAGGACCCGTAGAGCGTCCCGCCGGCGCACTGGACCGTCGGCGCGGCGGTCGCCGTCGGCGCGGGCGACAGGTAGGCCACGCCGATCTTCGCGGCCTCGAGCGCGGCCTTCGTCGCGTCTCCGTCGACCGACGCGGCCGCCACGGCCGCCGCGGCGGCGTCGGAGAGCTTCGCGGCGATGGAGGCGAGGTACTCGTCGAACGCGCCGCTCTCCACGGCGTCCTCGAGCGCCGCGAGCGCGTCGGCCGCGGCGGCCTCGGCGGCGGCCGCGTCCGCCGCGACGACGGCCGCGGAGAACGACACCTCGGCGTAGTCGCCCGAGTCCTCGAGCCGGCGGCGGTCCTGACCGTCCTCGTCCTCGTTGCCGCAGCAGACCGACGCCATGTAGTCGGCTCCGGCCTGATCCGCGTCGTCGAGGTCGCCGCTACACGCCCAGTCGACCTCGCTGCCGCAGGTGCGGCCATCGTCCCAGACCTGCAAGTCCGCGTCGAAGCTGACGCCGGCGCCGCAGAGGCAGGCGCCCTCGCCGTCGTCGTCGTCGTCGTCGACGGCGGCGACGTCCGACACCTCCTCGAAGAGCTGCGACGACCCGTAGTGGATCGCCCCCGCGATGGCCGCGCGCACGTCGTCGTCCCCGTTGACGTCCGCGGGCGCGAGGCCCGAAAAGTAGACCGACGACGACACCGTCGCGCGCGTGCGCGTGGGCGTCGGCGCCGCCGTCGCTTTCTCGCCGTCCTCGTCCTCGTCGCCGTCCTCGGCGCCCGCCGAGTACGAGTAGCTGCCGTCGTACGAGTAGCTGTACGAGTCGCTGTACGAGTAGCTGTAGGACGCCGGCGCGTAGCTGTAGGAGTAGGAGTAGCTGGAGGAGTCGTAGGAGTAGGAGTAGCTGTAGGAGTCGTAGGAGTAGGAGTAGCTGTAGGACCCGGCGTCGGCGTAGCTGTAGGACCCGGCGTAGGAGTACGAGAGGGCGTACGAGTAGCTGTAGGACTCCGCGTAGGAGTACGAGAGGGCGTACGAGTAGCTGTAGGACTCGGCGTAGGAGTACGAGAGGGCCGCGGCGCCGGAGAGGACCTGGACCTCGGCTAGGTCGAGCGCGCTCGAGTAGACGTAGACCTCGTCGACGGCGCCCGTGAGGTACTGCTGCGCGGAGCGGGCCCCGATCGTGAACGGGATGTCGGCGCCGGTAGACAGAGCGAGCGTCCCGCCGTCGACCTCGTCCCCGTCGTAGAACAGGGCCCAGTCGGACCCGTCGTAGGTCAGGCAGTAGTGGTGCCACTCGCCGTCGCCGTTGCCCGGCGTGCCGACGGTGAACTCGTTGCCGTAGAAGACCGTCTGGGTGGTGCCGTCGGCCACCGGCGTGAGGCCGAACTCCATCGCTTCGTACCAGGTGCCGTAGGTGAAGAGGTAGCCGGCGTACGCGTCGACGCGCGCCCAGAGGCACACGGACCGCGGCGCGGCGCCGCCGAGCCCGCCGGTGAGCGCGGCGGCGAACTCGACCTTGTCGTCCGTCCCGTCGAAGGCCAGCGCTCTTCCGCTCCAGCCCGTCGTCGCCGTCGCGCCGCTGATCGTCCCGTCGTAGGCGCCGTAGTCGTCGGCGGCCGTGCCGTCGTCGAAGGAGTAGTACGAGACCAGCGTGGAGGAGGAGACGTGCGTCGGCCGAGGCGTCGGCGGCGCCGGCGTCGGCTGCGGCGTCACAGCGTCGTAGAGCACCTGGATCGACGCATCGTCGAGCGCGCTCGCGTAGATGTAGAGCTCGTCGATGGAGCCGCTGAGGTAGCCGGCGTAGCCTGCCGCCCCTAAGCGTACTCCGAGCGTCAGCGGGTTGTCGGAGCCGGTGTCGAGGGCCACGGTCTCGGTGTGAACCAGCGTCGCGTCAAAGTACAGCGTCCACGCCGATCCGTCGTACGTGTGGCAGTAGTGGTGCCAGTCGCCGTCGTCGGACCCGGATGCCGCGATGTCCCCGAACTCGTAGCTCGCGCCGTACCCCATCAGCACGAACTCGCCGGCCGTGGTCTCCGTCGCGAAGGCGAATCGTTTCGAATCCGCGTTCGAGTTGTACGAGAAGAGCGTGCCGCCGTCCCACTCGTCGATCAATGCCCACAAGCACAGTGTCCGCGCGCTGCTCCCGAGGATGTCCGCCGTCACCGCCGCCGGGAACTCGACGGAGTCGTCGCCGTCGAAGAGGAGCGCGGCGCTCCCGTCGGGGCCCGTCGTCGGGATCGCGCCGGCGAGCGTCCCGTCGAGGCTGCCGTCGCTGTCCTCGGCGGCCGTGCCGTCGTCGAAGGAGTAGTACGCGACGAGCGTCGAGTGCGACACGTGCGTCGGCAGCGGCGTCACCGTCGGCAGCAGCGTCACGGCGTCGTAGAGCACCTGGATCGACGCATCGTCGAGCGCGCTCGCGTAGATGTAGAGCTCGTCGATGGAGCCGCTGAGGTAGTCGGCGTAGCCTGCCGTCCCTATGCGTACTCCGAGCGTCAACGGGTTGTCTGAGCCGGTGTCGAGGGCCACGGTCTCGGTGTGAACCAGCGTCGCGTCAAAGTACAGCGTCCACGCCGATCCGTCGTACGTGTGGCAGTAGTGGTGCCAGTCGCCGTCGTCGGACCCGGATGCCGCGATGTCCCCGAACTCGTAGCTCACGCTGCCCCCCTTCAGCACGAACTCGCCGGCCGTCGTCTCCGTCGCGAAGGCGAATCGTTGCGCAGCGTCGTTCGAGTTGTACGAGAAGAGCGCGCCGCCGTCCCACTCGTCGATCAATGCCCACAAGCACAGTGTCCGCGCGCTGCTCCCGAGGATGTCCGCCGTCACCGCCGCCGGGAACTCGACGTTTTGGTTCCCGTCGAAGAGGAGCGCGCCGCTTCCGTCGCGACCCGTCGTCGGGATAGCGCCGCTGAGCGTCCCGTCGAGGCTCCCGTAGTCGTCCGCGGCCGTCCCGTTGTCGAAGGAGTAGTACGCGACGAGCGTCGAGTGCGACACGTGCGTCGGCAGCGGCGTCACCGTCGGCTGCAGCGTCACGGCGTCGTCGTAGAGCACCTCGATCGACGCCGCGTCGAGCGCGCTCGCGTAGATGTAGACCTCGTCGATGGAGCCGCTGAGGTAGCCGCTGTAGGAGTTGCTGTTTACCCGCACTCCGAGCGTCAAAGGGTTCTGGGGGCCAGTGTCCAGGGCCACGGTCTCCGTGTGAACCAGCGTCGCATCGAAGTACAGCAGCCAGTCCGTTCCGTTGTACGTGTGGCAGTAGTGGTGCCAGTCGCCGTCGTCGGAGCCGGACACCGCGACGTCCCGGAAGTCGTAGTAGTCGCCCCACCCGAGCAGCCCGAACTCGCCGGCCGTCGTTTCGGTCATGAAGGCGAATCGTTTCGAATCGAAGTTCGAGTCGTACGAGAAAAGCGTGCCGCCGTCCCACTCGTCGATCAATGCCCACAAGCACAGCGTCCGCGTGCTGTTCCCGAGGATGTCCGCCGTCACCGCCGCCGGGAACACGACGGAGTCGTCGCCGTTGAAGAGGAGCGCGCCGCTTCCGTCGGGACCCGTCGTCGGGATCGGACCCGTGTATCCAGGGGGGCTCGCGCCGGCGAGCGTCCCGTCGAGGCTGCTGTTGCTCGCCTCGGCGGCCGTGCCGTCGTCGAAGGAGTAGTGCGCGACGAGCGTGCCCTCGAAGAAGTTCGACGTCGGCAGCGGCGTCACCGTCGGCCGCGGCGTCGTCACCGTCGGCTGCGGCGTCGTCGGCGTCGTCATCTGGTAGCTCTCGAAGTCGGTATAAGATTCCACCCGCGTCGCGCACGTCTTACCGATGAAGCATCCGTAGCAGTCGTACGTCTCCGACACGGAGAAGTAGGCGCAGTCCGGGATGGCGGCGCAGACGGCGTAGCAGTTGGCCACGGACTGGCAATGGCAGAAGGCGCTCGGCCACGTCGGGCCGTTGTCGTACCAGTCCTCGCTCCCCGTCGTCGAGTACGTGTCGGGGAGAGATCCGAAGTTCTCGTCCAAATAGGAAACGAGAAAGGACTCGCTGTCGTCGGCGTTCTCGCAGATGCCCTGCGCGCGGCGCGGGCGCGTGCACGCGCGGCGCGCACGCGCGCGCGAGGTGGCGGGCGCGAGCGGCGCGCGCGGCCGGGTCGGGCGAGGTGGCGGCCGCGGGCGGCGCGCGCGGCGGCGGGTCGGGCGACGCACCGTGCCGACGCTCGTGTACTCCGCCGATGAGTAGGAGTAGCTGTCGTCGTACGAGTAGGAGTAGGAGTAGCTGTCGTCGTACGAGTAGGAGTAGGAGTAGCTGGAGGCCTCCTCGCACTCCTGGAACGCGACCTCCGCGACGGCGACGTACTGCGCGAGGTTTGGGCTCGAGAGGTAGAGCCGCACGTAGCGGCTCGTCACGGGCTCGACGTCGAAGCACGTGTCGGCGAAGTCGAGCGCGGCGAGCTCCGACGTGTCGATGTTCGCCTTGACGACGCCGTCGGCCTCGCCGTATTCGGCGCCCTCGACCCAGTTGGCGCCGTCCGTCGACGAGTCGAGGCGCACGAGCGCGGCGCCCGCCGCGGCGCCGTTGTACTCCTTCCAGATCAAGCACACGGAGGCCACCGTGACCTCGGAGGACGTGTCGCCGAAGCAGCAATTGACGCAGTCCTCCTCGCCGTCGGAGGGGAGGCCGTCGCTGTAGCACGACGACTCGTCGGCGTGGTTGTCGCAGGACTCGCACCCGCCGTAGGTGTCGTAGTCGAAGTTGCAGAACTGGCCGTCCGAGCAGCTGCAGTCCGAGTAGGCCCGGCATTCGGAGCCGCCGGAGACCAAGTCGTAGGCGAGCCAGTTGGAATCGACGTCGTCCTCGGCACTCCACCACCCCCCGTTGAACGCGACCTACCAAATGCAGCGGTTTCGTTGTTTTTCCGGTCAACATCTCTCGAACGTCGTCGCGGCCGCGGGACGCCGGACGCGACGGTGTCCGCGTCGCCGTCGAGCGTCGCGGCCGCCGAGTAATCGACCGCCGCGTCGTAGTAGTACCCGGACTGGCCCGCGGCCGTCACGCCGTCGACGTCGGCGACGTCGCACGTGTCGTAGGAGTACGAGCTCGCGTACGAGTAGGACTTGGCGTGGCTGTAGGAGTAGCTGTAGGAGCCGTCGCCGTCGTTCGAGACGCAGTCTTCCGGGTTCGCGTCGGAGCAGCACTTCCCGGAGCCACACGTGCACTCTTCCGCGCCGTTCGAGTTGGAATAGCTCATGCCGTCTTCCCCGCTGCAGTAGTCGGAGCAAGAGGAGTCGGCGAGCGCGGTCTCGCACGTGCCGTCGTCGTCGTAGCTGTAGGAGGCGGCGTAGGAGTAGGAGTAGCTGGAGGCTTCCTCGCACTCCTGGAACGCGACCTCCGCGACGGCGACGTACTGCGAGAGGTGCGGGCTCGAGAGGTAGAGCCGCACGTAGCGGCTCGTCACGGGCTCGACGTCGAAGCACGTGTCGGCGAAGTCGAGCGCGGCGAGCTCCGACGTGTCGATGTTCGCCTTGACGACGCCGTCGGCCTCGCCGTATTCGGCGCCCTCGACCCAGTTGGCGCCGTCCGTCGACGAGTCGAGGCGCACGAGCGCGGCGCCCGCCGCGGCGCCGTTGTACTCCTTCCAGATCAAGCACACGGAGGCCACCGTGACCTCGGAGGACGTGTCGCCGAAGCAGCAATTGACGCAGTCCTCCTCGCCGTCGGAGGGGAGGCCGTCGCTGTAGCACGACGACTCGTCGGCGTGGTTGTCGCAGGACTCGCACCCGCCGTAGGTGTCGTAGTCGAAGTTGCAGAACTGGCCGTCCGAGCAGCTGCAGTCCGAGTAGGCCCGGCATTCGGAGCCGCCGGAGACCAAGTCGTAGGCGAGCCAGTTGGAATCGACGTCGTCCTCGGCACTCCACCACCCCCCGTTGAACGTGACCTACCAAATGCAGCGGTAACGATTTTTCGTCGTTTTTCCGGTCGACATCTCTCGAACGTCGTCGCGGCCGCGGGACGCCGGACGCGACGGTGTCCGCGTCGCCGTCGAGCGTCGCGGCCGCCGAGTAATCGACCGCCGCGTCGTAGTAGTACCCGGACTGGCCCGCGGCCGTCACGCCGTCGACGTCGGCGACGTCGCACGTGTCGTAGGAGTACGAGCTCGCGTACGAGTAGCTGGCGCCGTAGGAGTACGAGTAGGAGTACGAGCCGTCGTAGCTGTAGGAGAAGGAGGAGGAGGGGAAGGTGCCGTTCGTGCTGTACGTGCCGTTCGTGCTGTTCGTGCTGTTGCCGCTCAGTAGTGCGCCGATGATTTGCTGTCTGGGTTGCAACCTGCGGCGCTGCTCGAGCGACCCGGCGGCGCGGTCCGCGCCGCCCGCGGCCGCGGCGCGTCCGTCCGCGACGGCGGCGGCGACGCGCGCCACCAAGGCGCAGGCGACGGCGCCGCGGAGCGCACCACGCATCGTCCTACGGCGAAGGGCTGCGTACCATGCTGCCCGGTGGGCGGGCACCGAAGAGATTTTCGAACCTCGAACGTGCAGTTGTTGAAATTTCAATGGGGATCGAAAATGAAGGAAACTTGATTTGATTGAACCTTCAATTAAAGGTCCCCTATCCGCCGCGCCTCCAGGCCGCGCGGGGCGGGGGGGCGTTCGGCGCGCCGGCCGTCGCCGCGTCAGTCCCACTGGCCGTAGCCGTCGTCGCGGCCCGTGTTCCACTCGCCGGAGCCGCCGGAGAGCACGCCGACGTCCGCGTTGACGCCCGAGTTCGGCGAGCCGGACTCCTCGTCGGAGGCCGTCGGGCTCGGGTAGTTCGTGCGGCTCATCGTCGGCGCGCCCGCGCCCTCCTGCTCGACGATCTCGAGCCACTCGCGGTTGTGGCTGTAGAAGCGGCGGCGCCGGACCTGCGCGCCGAGCTCGCCGAGCGCGCCGGTCTCGTCGCGGTCGTGCTCCATGACGAGGTCGAGGCAGGCGTTCGCGTAGGAGACGACGGCCTCGTTGCCGTTGCCGAGGCAGTCGAGCACGTCCAGGAGCACGCGGCTGTTGTAGAGGATCTCGTCGTGCGTCTCGCGGTGCGCCAAAAGGTGCTGGAACGTGAAGAGGAGCTGGAGCGTGATCTCGGCGTCGTCGCTCTTGTCCCGCCAGACCTCCTCGAGGGACCGCGCGAGGCTCGAGCTCGCGATGGCGTTCGCGGCGTCGCGCTCCGTCGCCAGGACGCCCGCGAAGACGACGGCCTCGAGGACGACGTCGTGCTGGGCCATGCCCGGCACGAGGAGCTTCGAGAGGTAGCCCGTGAGGGAGAATTCCTCGATGTACTTGGCCCAGGTCGCGCCGCGGAGGAGGTCGTGGCGCGTGAGGTTGCCCAACGTGCCCAGAACCTCGACGAGGAGGTCGTGCGACTCCGTCTCGATCGCGAAGCCCAGGATCTGGGTCACGTGGCGGCTCCACAGGCCGCGCTGCAGGTACTCCTTGGCCGGGTCCTCCAGGTCCTGCTGGACGTCGAAGGTCCAGAGCGACAGGTTCCGCACGACCTTCATCAGCAGCGGGTCGCGCGTCCGCTCGACGCGGGCCACGAGGGCCGACAGGCCCTTGTTCGCGCACATGAGCTCCGCGTTGTGCTTGTTGAGGCTGAGGTTGCCCGCGAGCGCCGCGAGCTCGCGCGTGATCTTCCGGTTCGGCGGGAACTTGATGACGAGCTGCATGACGATGGGGATCGCCTCCGTGTACGTGAACATGGACTTGCACCGGTCGTCGACGCTGAGGTGGTAGAGCACGCGCAGCGACACCTCCCGGAACTTGTGGTTCTCCTTGAGCAGGCCCACGAGCTTCGGGATGAAGGAGTTCCGCACCATCTGGTCGCGGACGCCCGCGTCGAAGGACAGGTTGAAGAGGAGCCGGAGCATCGCGATGATGAGCTCCGGCGACGAGCAGGGCGCGAAGCGCGCGAGGCGGCCCACGAGGTTGCTCCGGAGCATGGCGTCCTTGTTCTCCTCGAAGAGCGTGAGCTTCTTCAGGAACACGGCCGCCAAGATGAGGAGCGGCGCGGACGCGGAGTGGGAGAAGACGGCGACGAGGTACTCGACGAGGTGGCGCTTGACCATCTTGTGCTCCACGAGCACGTCCTCGGCGAGGTTGATGAGCACCTGTGTGGAAACCAAATCTTCAACCCGACTTCAATGTGAGCGTAATCGAACGATTTGGACCAGACTCTTTCGCTGTGCTTCGAGAACTCGACGAGAGCAATCGATCTGTCCAAAAATCAGCCGAATCGACTTCGATTTGACCGAGCTAGAGAATTCTCAAGTTTGGTCAGGACCCCCTGAACCAGCGGTTGGTTTCCACACTGATGAGCACGTGGAGGCAGACGTAGAGCGTCTTGTCCTGCTTCCGCTGCACGAGCCGGCTCCGCTGGTCCTCCTTCTCCGCGGCGCGCTCGAGCTCCTCGACGCGCCGCTCGTGCTCGCGGATGCCCTCGCGGCTGTCCGAAAGCCCGAGCTTCGCCTCGCGGACCTCGCCCGCGCGGCGCCGCGCCTCCTCGTGGCGGTGCTCCGTCCGCTTCACCTCGAACTCGACGAGCTCGACGCAGATGGACCCGACGCGGTACTGGGCCAGGATGGCGTGCATCTCCACGAAGTTGGAGAAGCTCAGGAAGACGCGCACGATGTTGTAGGCGAGGTCCGACGACCGCCGGTAGTCCTCCGCGAGCACGCGGCTCAGCGCGCCCATGAGCGTGTGGTGCTGGACGAGGTGCTCGAGGTTGCCGACGAAGCTGCACAGCTTGAGGATCTTCTCCGTGCCGCGGACCTTCTCCTTCATGTCCTCGTTGCCCTCGTAGAGCATCTCGATGTACTCGTCGACGCTGTCCATGTCCGCGACGACGTCGTCGCGGTCGTCCTCGCGCTTCCGGCGGCGGCGCTCGCTGCGCTGCGCCGCCGCGTTCTTCGCCGCGTCGGGGTCGCCGGCCACGTGCTCCTGGAGGTTCGCGACGAGCATCTCGACGACGCGCCGCTTGCTGCTCGGGATGTACTTGCACTTGCGCAGCACGTCGTCGGCGATCTTCGCGGGGTCCGAGCGCTCGTTGAGCGTCTTGAGCCGCAGCCGCCGCGTGTGCGGCGTCCGCTCGCCGCTCGGCGGCTCCGACGTCTCGTAGTGCACGACGATGGCGCACTCCTCCTTGTCGGCCTCGATGAGGCCCGGATGGACCTTCTTCTTCTTCTTCTCCTCCTCGGCGGGCATCGTGGGCCGGCGGCGGGGCGGCGCGAGCCGCGGGGACGGCCGAAGCGCCGGGGGCGCCGACGCTCGACGACGCGGGCAGCTCGCGGGAGGCGCAGCCCACCCGCCAGATGCAGGGGAGGATGAACTCAAGGTGCATTTTCATTCGTTGCCGGTCGCACGATGGGGCAGCCCAGCAGATCCGCATCCCTCTAGGAAGAACGATGGGCACGCTCCTCGAGCAGTTCGTCTTCACGGCCGGCGACGGCAGCGAGATGGTCGTCACGGTCGTCGAGGACGCCGAGGCCGGCCAGCGCTTCGTCCACGGCAAGGAGCTCGCCTCGGGCCGCGAGCACCGCGTCGCCTTGGACCCGAGCCTGAGCCTCGCCGCCGTGTCGGCGTCGCTCTTCGTCGACGAGGCCGGCGCGCTACGGCTGCCCGCGGGCGCCGCCGCGCCGGAGGCCGCGCCGGAGCCCGAGGCGGCGGCCGCGGCGGCCGCGGCGGCCGCGGGGGACGCGGACGACGCGCTCGCGGCGGAGCTGCGGGAGACGTCGCGCGTGCGCGTGCGCTGCGTGACGTGGAACCTCATGGCCCAGGCGACGGCGGCGCCGGCCGCGCTCCGCGCGGCGCTGCTGCCCCTCGACCGCTACCACCTCGTCCACGTGGGCACGCAGGAGTGCGAGCGGTCCATCGCCGCGTCGCTGCTCGTCCAGTCCAAGGCCGCGTGGACGGCGACGCTCGTCGCCGCCCTCGGCCCGAACTACGAGGTCGTCGCGAGCCACACGCTCCAGGCGACGCACGCGATCCTCTTCTGCCACCGGTCCGCGCGGCCGCTCCTCGGCGACGTCCGGAGCGGCGCTGTCGCGACGGGCCTCGGCGCGGGCGACGCGCGCCTCGGGAACAAGGGCGGCGTCGGCCTCGCACTCGACGTCGGCGGCGCCAGGGTCTGCTTCGTCGCGTCGCACCTCACGGCGCACCAGAAGAAGTCCGCGGAGCGGAACCCCGTGTGGAAATCAACCGGCGGAACGCCCCGTCCCGCAAAAACGTCAACCCTCTCTAGCTCGATCAAATCGAAGCCGATTCGGCTGATTTTTGGACGAATCGATCGCTCTCGTCGAGTTCTCGAAGCACAGTCGAAGAGCTTGCGTCGAAACTGTCGCATACGCGCACATTGAAGTCGGGTTGAAGATTTGAATTCCACGCAGGCGGAACCGCGAGTTCCACAAGATCAGCGCGGAGCTCGCGAAGCTCCTCGCGCCGGGCGCACCGCCGCCCGACGACGGCGCCGACCCGCTGCGCGGCGCCTTCGACGTCGTCGCCTGGTCCGGGGACCTCAACTACCGCGTCGACCTGCCGCGCGACGCCGCGGACGACTTGATCGCCGCGCGCGACTTCGCGGGCCTCCTCGCCGCGGACCAGCTGGCGGGCGCCCTGGCGTCGGGCGCGGCCTGGGCGGGCTACGCCGAGGCGCCCGTGGCCTTCCCGCCGACCTACAAGTTCGACGCCGCGGCCGACGGCGCGCTCGACGTCTACGACACGTCGCCGAAGCGCCGCGTGCCGTCCTACACGGACCGCGTCCTCGTCGCGTCGCGCGACGCCGCCGCGGCGCGCATCGTCGACTACGGCTCCGTCGCCGACCTCCGGTCCAGCGACCACCGGCCCGTCGCGGCGACGCTGTCCCTCGCCGTCGACGCGGCCACGGCCAAGGAGGCGACGCTCGGCCAGCACCAGAGCCAGGTCTGCGCGGTCATGTAAGACTGTCGTCCCGCCGCCCTCCCCCGTCACCTCGACGCCCGCGCGAGGAAGCGCGCCCACTCGTCGACGGCGTCGTCGCGCTCGAAGAGCGCGCCTCTCGCGGCGCAGATCGCGGCCTCGAGCGCGCGGCGCCGCGGCGCGTCGTCGGCGAGGGCCGTCGCGTTGGCCACGTAGGCCGCGGGCGTCGCCGCGACGGGCGCCCCCGGCACGTTCATGCGCCGGTACATGCCGCGCGCGAGCGCGACGACGCTCTGGCGCCGCGGCGCCGTGACGACCGCGCGGCACGCGGAGAAGGCCTCGAGCGTCGTCACGCCGCCCCCGAAGGGGAAGGGGTCGAGGAGCACCGTCGCCAGGCGCAGCAGCGCGAAGAAGTCGGGGCCCGCGACGAGGGGCAGGAAGACGAAGCGCGCGAGCACGGGCCCCGGCCGCGCCGCGTACTTCGCGATGGACGCCTCGAGGCGCCGCTCGAGCGCGCGGAGCCACAGCAGCTTCTTCGGGTCGTAGGTGATGACGATGGCCTCCTTCTGGCCGCCGCGGCGGCTGATGGCGAAGGCGAGGCGCACGAGCACCTCGTCGAAGTCCGGGTGGAACTTGGGCAGGCTCTGCGGGCAGACGTAGAGCGCGTCGTAGTCGCCGAGGCCCAGCTCGCCCGCGAGCGCCGGAGCGCGCGCGTCGGTCTCGGCGAGCGTCGGCGCGTAGACGCCCTGGGGCGCGCGGAAGTAGAAGCCCAGCGTGTCGAAGCGCGCGGGTTGCTCCGCGTACCTTTCGGCCAAGAAGTCGTTCCGCGGCTCGAACGCGTCGGACGTGATGAAGTAGTCGATCGTGTCCGGGAGGCCCGACGTGTGCGGGTGGCCCCAGAAGAGGACCTGGGTCCTCGCGAGGCGCCCGAAGGCCCAGGTCGTCGTTTTCGCGTCCATGCCCAAATCCGCGAAGACGAGGACGTCGAGGCTCTTGGCCAGGTCGCGGTTGCTCAGCAAGACGCCGCGCTCGAGGCGCACGCGCGCCGCGCCCGTCTCCAGCACCCAGGCCGTCCAGTCGTCCTCCTCCTCCGCGGCGCTGAAGAGCGTCACCGCGAAGCCCGGCGTCGCCGCGAGCCCCCGGACGACGCCGCCCAGCAATTTGCAGACGCTGTGCCGCTTCCAGTAGCTGGAGACGAAGCCCACGCGCACCGCGTCGCCGGGCGCCGGCTCGTGGAGCACGGCGCCCAGCGCCGGGTGGGCCGCGCGGTACGCGTCCGCGATCGCGGCCATCAGCGCCGCGTCGGCGAAGCCGAGGTAGACGACGTAAAAGGTCCCCGGCATGGACGTCGCGTCGAGCGCCGCCAGGCGGCTGCCCCGCAGGGCCGCGACGTTGCGCTCGAGCCGCGCTA